ATTATTATCTTTATCATTTTCGTTATTACTACTATCATCATCATTATTATTATCATCACTGTTGCTTTTCTTTTGTTATTATTGTTATCATTATCACTATTATTATTATCATCATTATCATTATTATTGCTATTACCATTATCGTTGTTATTATCATTATCATTATTGTTATCATTACCATTATTGTTATTATCATTATCTTCATTATTATCACTATCATTGTTATTATTACTGTTATCACTATCATTATCATTACTTTTATCATGTTTTTATCTTGCTATAGTCTCATTATTATTGTTATTGTTATCATTATTATTATTATTCTTTTTACAATAACAATAATCATTATTACTATTACTATTATTATTATTACCACTATTATTATTATTGTTATTATCATTGCCATTATTACTATTATGTGTGTGTGTGTATGTGCGTGTCTATATCTCTATCTATCTATCTATTTATCTATATATCTATATCTATATATTTTTTCTCTCATCTTAAATATCGTCACAATATTTTTCTAGTTATCTTTCCACTATCATATCACGTGATATATCCTGTAACACAATACATTTAAGCTTTGAACGCCGACACAAGCGGAAAATTATTTGTTGTTTGCAAAAAAAACAAACACATTTTTCACTCGATTTGACAGAGACAATTATAATAAATCCCTAGGAGAGGTCTCACGGTAAACATCTAACTGTAAACATGTCACAGTAAACATGTCAGAGTAAACATCTGCTTGTAAACACGTCAGAATAAACTTTTCCCCCAATGGCGCATCTCAGTCAGGCTATGTGCGAATATGTCCACACAGCCGCGGTCTGCGTCACTTGTTACAGGCCTAAATCATCGTTGTTGTTGTTATTATTACCTTTATTATCAATGTTGTTATCATTATGATCATTATAATCATTATCACTATTGTTGTAATGGTTACTTTCATTATTATTATTATTATCATTCATTATTGTTATTATTATTATCATCATTATCATTATTATTATTGTTGCTGTTATTATTATCATTATTATCATCAATACCATTATATTTACTATAACTAATTTATCATTACTATTTTTAAATGCTATTATCATCATCTTTATCGTTGCAATGTTTTTTCCCCACAAAGCCCCCCTCCCCCTCCTTGTCACCCCCAAAAGGAGGTTTGCATTTCCCATTCAAATGAACCTCTATTTCTTCTTCAAAAGGGAAGGACTCGTACGCCTACGCTCGTTTGAATTACCCTTAGGTACATTCGTGTCCACGTATCTCGGTAGGGCCGTCGTCTTTCTGAATCCGGATCGTCTGATTTTAGCTGCAACAATATGTATATATATATATATATATATATATATATATATATATATATATATATATATATATATATATATATATACATATATATATATATATATTATATATATATTTTTTTTTTTTTATTTATTTATTTTTTTTTGAGTGATTTTGATTGTGTCGTCCTTGCGTGACTGTTCTTTGAGCATTTGTTCATTTCTGAGTGACTATGGCTTCGGCATCCATTCATTCCTTTTTAACACTGGCTTCAGCACCGATTTTATTCATTAATGATATTAGCTTCATCACTTACTCATCCTTGACTGATAGTTATTTCAGTATTCGTTCAATCGTCCGTGACTTTGGCTTCAGCACATATCATTCCTGACTGACTCTGACTTCGACGTTTTATTCATCCCAGGAAAAAAACAACATGAAGTCAGAATATGTTTTTTATTACTTGTATGGTAAAGACAAACAAACAAACAAACAAAAGCAAACACACACAAAAAAAAGTAGCAAGTAAGGAACAGAGAAAGGATAAGAGGAAAAAGAATAAAACGTGACTAAAAAAAAAAGTTAGATAAAAAACGCTTTCTCGAACTTCTATTGCTAAAAAAATGACAGCGTAGTTACATTTTCAAAAAGAAAAAAAAAAAGGTAGAAAAAAAAACTAAAAAAAAAAAAAGAAAGAGTTAAAACAGAATAAAGAAAGGGAAATAGTGGAAAGGCAGTATTTGAACAAAAGAAAACTGAGCGATAACCGGCTCCCCCTCCCCCCTTCCTCATTTTATTTCCCCTTAGTCCATAAACTAAACGATTTCCCCTCATAAACATTTCTCGTTTTTGTCCTCTCTCGAATCACATGTTTAAGCCTTACTAAAGAGGGCATTTTGCTCCCCCCCCCTCCTCCTCCTCCTCCTCCTCCTCCTCCTTTCTCTCCCTCTCTTTCCTTTACCTTGTTTATTTTCCATCCTTTTTGTATATCTTTGCTTCCTTTTTTCTTTTTTTCTTTATCTTTATCATATTATTTTTTGTACTTTTATTTTCAGTTTCCATGATCTCTCCAATTTTAAGAATGTATTTTCTCTCCCATACTTAATTGACGTTTTCTTTTCCTTCCTTCCTTTCCGTTCTTGTTCATTGTTTTCTTTCTTTCTCGTGTTCTTCCTATTCCAAACTTTCTGCCTTCTTTTATCCAAAAAAAAGAAAAAAAGAAAAAGAAAACTATCTAATCATCTTCCCGATCTTTCTTCCTCTCTCTCTCTCTCTTACTGTTTTATATTCTTTCCCTTTTGTCTCCTCTCCTCTCTTCTTTTTCCCAAATTTATTTCTCGTTTCTTTCTTTTATTCTTCTACTCGGATCTTTACCTCATCTTACTTGCCTCTTCTTTCCTTTAATTTTTTTTCTCCCTCTTGCCTTTGGTCTCGTATTTTATATTCTCACATTAAAATTCAGGTCGTATTCAAATTATTCCACTTTTCAATTAATCATAATCTCAGTCTTTTTCGCGTACTTGTTTTGTTTTATTAAAAAAAAAGTAATCTCTCTCTCTCTCTCTCCCTTTCTCCCTCTCTCTCTCTCTCTCTATCTATCTTTCTCTCTATCTACCTATCTATCTATCTTTCTCTTTCTCTCTCGTTTTCTCTCTCTCTCTCTCTCTCTCTCTCTCTCTCTCTCTCTCTCTCTCTCTCTCTCTCTCTCTCTCTCTCTCTCTCTCTCTCTCTCTCTCTCTCTCTCCCTTCCTCCCTCCCTCCCCCCTCTAACTCTCTCTCTCTCTCTCTCTCTCTCTCTCTCTCTCTCTCTCTCTCTCTCTCTGCCTCTCTCTCTCTCTCTCTCTCTCTCTCTCTCTCTCTCTCTCTCTCTCTCTCTCTCTCTCTCTCTCTCTCTCTCTCTCTCTCTCTCTCTTTCTCTCGCTCTTTCTTCCCGTCTCCTCTTCACTTCCCCACTCCCTTTCCCCCTCTTCTGTCCTCTAATCCCCCGCCATCCTTCCCTTTCCTCTTCTCCTCTGTTCTCTAATCCTCCCCCTCCTCTCTCCTTCTCCCCCCCCCCCCCCCCCGTTAACCCGCGCGTACCCTCTGACCTCTGCTCCCCCCCCCCCCATAGCAGAGCCAAGCCAAGGCCTTCCGGTTCTCTTTAAAGGTCCCTCCCCTTTCCCTCCCTCCTCCTCTCTCCCTTCCTCACCCCTCCCTCTCCTTCCCTCCCCTCTCCCTCCCTCCTCCTCTCTCCTTGTCTCATCCTTCCCTCCCTCCTCCTCTCTCCCTTCCTCACCCCTCCCTCTCCTTCCCTCCCCTCTCCCTCCCTCCTCCTCACCCTTTCCTCCCTCCCCCCTCTCTCCTTACCTCCCTCCCTTCTTCCCTCTCCCCTCTCTTTCCCTCCTCCTCACCCTTTCCTCCCTCCCCCCACTCTCCTTGCCTCCCTCCCTTCTTCCCTCTCCCCTCTCTTTCCCTCCCCCTCCTCCCTCTCCTCCCTCCCCCCACTCTCCTTGCCTCCCTCCCTTCTTCCCTCTCCCCTCTCTTTCCCTCCCCCTCCTCCCTCTCCTCCCTCCCCTCCCTTTTTCCCTCCCTACACCGATAAATTGTGGGCTGAAACCTTATTTTTGTGAAGGCAGCGATTTGGAATTAGGAAATAGGCCAATTCCCACTACCCCTCCTCCCCCCCCCAGTTCTCTTCCCCCCCCCCCTTTCCCCTGTTTCAACTTGATTTATTTAGAATTAGGAATCGGGAATTAGGCCTGTAGCTTTTCTCTTTCTTTTACTCCTCTCCCTTCCTTCCTCACCCTCTTCCTTCTCCCTCTCCCTTCCTCTTCCCTTTCCCTTGCTCTCCGTTCCTCTTCGCTCTTCTTCCCTCGCCCTCTTCTCTCTCCGCGTCTCTTCTTCTTCCCTCTCCCTCTCCTTCCCTCGTCCTCTTCTCTCTCTCTCGCTCTCTTCTCTCTCCCACCCCCTTCCTTTCCCCTCTCCTCTCTCCCTCTCCCTTCCGCTTCCCTCTCCTTCTCCCTTCCTTTTCCTTCTCCTCTCTTTCCCTCTCCCTCCATCGCACTCTTCTCTCTCCCTCTCCCTTCCGCTTCCTTCTCCCTCCCTCGCCCTCTTCTCTCTCCGTCTTTCTTCCTCTTCTCTCTCTCCCTCTCCCTATCTCCCTTTCCTCCCCTTTTTTATCTTATTTATTTATTTATTATTAATCAATCAATCAATCAATAATAATAATAATAATAATAATGATAATAATGATAAAAATAATAACAATGATAATTATTATTACTATTATTATTATCATTATTATTATCACTATTAATATCATTATTATTCTCAGCCAGTCAGAATATTACTAATCATCTTGCTAATCAGCTTAACTTGTTAATCAGCTATTTAAGGAACTAATTAGATAGGAGATGCAATTAATTACAAACTAAACCAATCATTAACTAAGTCAATCAGAGAATTTCAAACAGTCAAGAGTACAGTCAGTGAAAAGCTTAGCCAATCAGGACCTTAACTAATCAGATTCATAGACAGTCAACTGAGCATATCAATGCGTGGTTTATCTGAGACTTAACATATCATTTGCACGTTTCGCCAATTTAGAATGCTACCAATTGCATATTTCGCCAATTAAAAGTACGACTAAACAAACGATTCGCCAGTCAGAAATGCAACCGATCAGTATATCTCACCTAATCAGAGGATTCGCCAATCAGAGAGGCTCGGAAGTCAGACGATCGGCCAATCAGAGAGGCTCGGAAGTCAGACGATCAGCCAATCAGAGAGGCTCGGAAGTCAGACGATCAACCAATCAGAGAGACTCGGAAGTCAGACGATCAGCCAATCAGAGAAGCTCGGAAGTCAGACGATCAGCCAATCAGAGAGGCTCGGAAGTCAGACGATCAGCCAATCAGAGAAGCTCGGCAGCCAGACGATCGGCCAATCAGAGAAGCTCGGAAGTCAGACGATCAGCCAATCAGAGAGGCTCGGAAGTCAGACGATCAGCCAATCAGAGAAGCTCGGAAGTCAGACGATCAGCCAATCAGAGAAGCTCGGCAGCCAGACGATCGGCCAATCAGAGAAGCTCGGAAGTCAGACGATCAGCCAATCAGAGAAGCTCGGAAGTCAGACGATCAGCCAATCAGAGAAGCTCGGAAGCCAGACGATCGGCCAATCAGAGAGGCTCGGAAGTCAGACGATCAGCCAATCAGAGAAGCTCGGAAGTCAGACGATCAGCCAATCAGAGAAGCTCGGAAGTCAGACGATCAGCCAATCAGAGAGGCTCGGAAGTCAGATGATCAGCCAATCAGAGAAGCTCGGAAGTCAGACGATCAGCCAATCAGAGAAGCTCGGCAGCCAGACGATCGGCCAATCAGAGAGGCTCGGAAGTCAGACGATCAACCAATCAGAGAGACTCGGAAGTCAGACGATCGGCCAATCAGAGAGGCTTGGAAGTCAGACGATCGGCCAATCAGAGAAGCTCAGAAGTCAGACGATCAACCAATCAGAGAGGCTCAGAAGTCAGACGATCGGCCAATCAGAGAGGCTTGGAAGTCAGACGATCGGCCAATCAGAGAAGCTCGGAAGTCAGACGATCAGCCAATCAGAGAGGCTCGTGCAGTCAGACGATCAGCCAATCAGAGAAGCTCGTGCAGTCAGACGATCAGCCAATCAGAGAAGCTCGGAAGTCAGACGATCAGCCAATCAGAGAAGCTCGTGCAGTCAGACGATCAGCC